ATCTTTTCTACTTCTGGTGTTGTCTTTCCCCTTTTAGAAGGCTCTTTGGCTTCTCCAAGTCTTTCCATAACTGACTGTCGTGGAGGAAAACTAGTCGTATCGCTTTGCTTCTTAGGTTTCGATAACCTTTTGAAAACAGAGCTTCGAGATACTGACGTGTTAAGCCTTTTGAAGACGGAAGTTCTGTTTTGACCGCCAATGAGTTTAGGTGCCGAAACTCTGGTCCTTGAACGATTCATTCTATCAAATACTGACGTCTGAGGGGCAGTTCGAGGCTCCTCTTATCTTGTATAATGCTCACGATGATGTGTTGAGCGCTAGCATTTTTTGCCTTGCTGGAGATCTTCACCGGTGCATTTGGTGTGAAGCCAAGTCCAGCTTTGTTGTTGTTGACCCCGTAACCATGCTCCTCCAACTTCTTCTGAGTTTTAGTAAGATCACGTTCTTTGTCTTTGATGGTGTTCAAATCCTTCTTTCCCAAATTTGCAGAGGAGGTGAAGTTGTACCCAGCTTTCGACATGAGTTTGTAGGCGTTTGGATCAAAACCTTCTTCGGTCCTCTTGGTTGGGAGAAAGCTTGGTTCTACCCCTTTTGGCAGGCCTTTTATGAAGCCTTGTGATGGCCTTGCAACCTTAATGTCGCTTAGCTGTGTCAGAGGCAAAACTGCATTTGTTTTGAGCAACTTTACATTATCCATGTGCCGCTGTGTATCGGCTTTGCTTACTGCAGTTTCAAATGGGGATTGACCATTCTTTCTTCTCGACGTTGGGATGTATCAGAAAACGGGTATGTTTGGACCATTTGAAGGCGTCCTATTCCCTCTGGTTGTTGCAGGTTTAGCAAGCTCATCGTCGTTTTTGTTTGAAGATGGCATAGCTTCTTCTTCTTGCTTCTTGGGTACGGCTTGCCACTCCTGTTTTTTAGGTGTTGCTTTACCCATGGATTTGATCTCTTTTGGAAGAGTTTCGGGCACCATGTCTTCATCCATGTAGAACTTGGCATCTGCGAAATGTGATTCGGCTTCGGTGAATGGCTTGGTGTCGCCATAGATCACCTTTACTCCTTCTCGGTAAAATTTTAAGCATTGGTGAAGGGTGGACGGTACTACTCCATTCGCATGGATCCAAGGCCTTCCTAAGAGCAAACTGTAGGAAGTTCTTGCATCAATCACGTGGAATATTGTGCTTGACTTGAGTTCACCAATGGTCATCTCTACTCGGATCATGCCCATCGTTCTTTGTCCTCCTTGATTAAAACCTTGGATTAGTAGACGGCTTAGGGATAGTTCATCCACCTTGATGCCGATTGTGGTCATTGTTGACTTTGGCATGATATTTATGGCTGATCCGCCATCCACAAGCATGCGGCTGACTTTGTGCTCCCTTACGTAACCAGAGATGAAGAGAGGTCGGTTGTGAGGCTTGGATCCTAGCAGCAAGTCTTCGTCGGTGAAGTGGATTGCATCCTCGGCGGGGCTTGATCTTGAAGGAGGATGATTGTTGATCCAAGGGGCCGTCGGGGCTTGATCTTGGAAGAATGATGAATGAAGAACGAAGAACACTTTCTTCAAGGGCCGTCGGGGCTTGATCTTGAAGGAGGATGATTGTTGATCCAAGGGGCCGTCGGGGCTTGATCTTGGAAGAATGATGAACGAAGAACGAAGAACACTTTCTTCAAGGGCCGTCGGGGCTTGATCTTGAAGGTGGATGATTGTTGATCAAAAAGGGCTTTCTTGATCTTTCGGGAATTGCTTGAGAGCTTCGAGTTTCAGAGCTTCAGAGCTTCAAGGTGTAATATGAATTCCTCCCCTCAAATGAATGAATTAGCCTTCTATTTATAGAAATTTCCAAGGCCTAATTTTGAATATAATATTCCAGATGAAATAAGTCGTTTCTGCCAGGTGTTGACACGTGTCCTGTTTGATGACTTTTCCAATTTATTTCGATTTTTTGTTTAGACACACGCTACGTGTAAAATTTATGTAATACATAAGCGTTGAAACTTTTTGATTTATCGGTCAACATTTATTTACCGAAATTTCGATGTCTACAATTGGATTGTATTGCACTTGGTTTGATGTTGTTTTGGCCGACAATGCAGGGATAGGAGAAACAAAGAGGATGACACTTACAACTGCTCCTCCCCATCGGCCTTCTTCAAATTTGGATCACAAGAAGGGAGCAACATAGGTATTGATCATGGTGTTTTCCTTCTTCATTTAGATATGGTTAATGTAAATAATTGGGCAAAAGAACCAAACAAACCCTTTTCTCTCAAATGGAGGCGATGATGTGGTCGACGGCCACCAGCCCCAACTCAAGAGTTTGGCCTTCTGTATAATCGGATTATATGATAATTTTATTTTGGTCCATTTCTTTAATCCTTTATGTAAGTGCAGATGTTGTGATATTTTGATTGAAGGGTGATGAAGGGTGGTTCACACACTTCCTCCTTTCTTAGAGCAAGTGGAGATGACGGTTTGTATAAAAAGAAAAACTTACCAGGTACTTCAATTTTCTATTTTATTAATTATTGTTTGGTTTTTGAAATGTTGTATTCAGAGAGAGAGAGAGAGACTAATTGTCCTTGAGAAACAAGTTTCTTTGTCTACGTTGTGAGAATTTGCAGTTTAAAACTTTCATTGGTTATTATATTTGCTTGAGTTAAACTTAGATTTCTGGAATTTGACTTTTTCTTTTGTTTCTCTGTTCAGAGTTGACTTCATTTCATTCCAGTAACTCTCTAAATAGGTCCAAGAACTCGCTAAATAGGTAGTCAAGAAGAATTTAGTGTTGCCTTCCTTTTTTGCCTGCTGTTTACTCTCTTCTTGGTTGCACTCTCACTGTTTCCTGATGTTGAATTTGTAATATATTAAGACCCAAAAACTAGATAAATGGCTAACTTTGATGTAAATTGATAACAGCAAGCCACTAGGTCAAAAAAACAGTGAGTCTTACCTTAGAGTTTTTGGGGATACCATAACCACATTTTGTATGACAATGATTAGGTTTTCTTTTAGTATCACCTTTCTTACTTGATATTAAATGTGTATTTCTAGATTTTTTTTTGCTGCATGCGCTTATGTTTATGCAGATAGAGATAGCAATTAGTGTGGTTCAAGCATTAGGAGCAGTATTTCACTCTCAAAGGACTTCGTTTGGAGGTGTTCAAGGAAAAGTGAAGTCTTTCAATACATTTTAACAATATGCATTTATGAAATTTTGTATTATAGTAAATGTGTAATTTTGTCGATTCTTATATATATATATATATATATATATGTATTGATTAAAAATTAAAATTAAAATAAATGTAAATTACTTTATGCAAAATCAGCAATAATTGTTTATGCTAGTCTATGTACAATGTATGCCGTAATTGCTTTCACAGTATTACGACACTCAACAAACGCCGTATCAAATATCAATTACGGCACACATGTATGCCGTAATTGTTTTCACAGTATTACGACACTTCATTAACGCTATATCTAATTTCAATTAAGGCGCGCAAGGCATGCCTTAAAGAGTATTTACAACGTGTTTTGCTTAAATTATTCACGACTACTAGAGAACGTCATATTTGACAAAACATCTTTTACGACAAAGGCTTTTACTGCTTGGGGGCTCACGCTGTGAATAATCGTTTACGGCGCTCTTTGTGCGCCACAAAAGACCAATTTTGTTGTAGTAATTTTTTATTGTTTCTCTCTAAATGCATCACGGTGCTTACACGAGGATTCAATAATATTAACCAAACTGCTAGCAGTTACGAAGAAAGTGGCAGCATCCTCATTTTTCATTGCTACGGCTATAAAAGCTAGTTGAAGTTCGTGTGCAAAACAATGAACATAAAATGTTTAAGGATATTTGTTCAAAATATTTGTTTTAAGACCATTTAGCTCACCTCTTATAGTACTACTTCCATCATAGTCTTGTCCTCGTAACTTGGACATACTCAAATTTATTGTAGCAAGCAATCTCTCAATGACCTCTTCAAGTTTGATACTAGTTGTAGATGAGATAAATTGAAGACCCAAAAACCTTTCAATTACTTCTCTTTTGTTCATATAACGAATACCACTGTTGTTCTTGAGTTGAAACAACATGTGATTCATCAACCAAAAGAGAAAAAATTGTATCGTCCATACCTTTAATGATTGTATCAATAGTTCCAAAGGCACAAGCTTGTACAAGATTTTTTGAAATTGGAAGAAATACACTTATGATTTTTAAGAGCATTCTCAAACGCAACATTCCTAACTTTCTCATCATGATTGACAAGAAATTGCATAAGCTCCATTTAATTACCCTTACCGCTTGATTTCAACGACTCATCAGGGGCACAAATAGGAAGACATTGTGGCAGCAATTATCTAGTGCAATCAAGTGCGCCACTAAAAAAAAATGTGATTAATGCGAGCTTCATTGGTTTTGTTAACCCTAAAAACTACCAAGCCTACGTGGCGCGCATGGCGAGTAATTAGTAAGCTAACTACGTCCTTCAGTTTTATGCAGGGCGTGCCAACTCGTCGGTCGAGGAGTAAAATTTGTTGATGTTTGTTTATACCATACTTAGGGCCTCCGTATTTAGACCTCGTATAAATACTCGAGGGACTTAAATGTAATTATGTAATAAAGGAATGGGCAAATATGTAATAAGTGAGGAGCTCTTATTCTATAAAAGGACTCATCACCCTCACAATTAGAAAAGGCCATTTCTTAAGCCATGGGAAGAGTTCTCTCACCCTCAGAAGCTCTCTCCCTCACTCCCCTCACTTCTCAAAGAAATATAATAATCACTGTGGATGTAGCCCAAACCTTGGGGTGAACCACAATACATCTTGTGTTATTTACTTTCTTGCAGATTCACGGTCGGATTTACGTTGTTCCAAGACCCCTCCGATTTTGTGCATCAACATTTGGCGTCGTCTGTGGGAATCGATACGAAAAGTTATGTCGGTTCTCTTTCATTTTCTCACTTCCACCGTGAATCTCCAAAATCACAAAAAACTCAGAAACCTTTCTCTCTCTCTCTCTCTTTCTCTCTCTCTCTCTCTTCAGTCGTAGTCAGTACTCATCGTTTCCAAGTCAAAGGACAAAACGAAATAGAACCCAACTCATTCAATTTCTAAGCTTCTGAAATCAGAACTAGCATAAAATGAAAGAAAGCTGCAGATCCATCCTCATACAAACAAAGCAGCCGACTCGCAAAAAGCAACAAAGGGGCTGAAGAGAAAGAAGTGAGAAATAGGAAGAGAGAGATGACGCAGAAAGGGAAGCTATTCAAAGGGCAGCAGAAAAGGAAAATGATTCCTCCTAACCGTCGTGGAAAAATGACTCAAATTCGCAAAGGCAAGCGAGTAATCAAGCATTCGAAGGTCACCGACGAGATGAATTCCAATCCACCCAACCCATTTCAGAAACGGATCCACCACCACCACGCCTCCGTTCCGAGATCCATCATCAACAACCCCAATGCCTCCGACGCCTCCTCCTGGGTCGGCTGGTGGTCCTCCTCTGCCTCCATTGCCCTGCCTGAATTCACTCTTTTCGTGCTTAAATCGGCATCGGACTCCGTGACCCGTTCCAACTTCCAGCCTTACCTCGCCTCCGTCTCCGACTCACCTTCCAACCACAGCAACAAGGAGATCTTCCTCCGTGAGCTCATCAGCAATTCATCTTATGCTTTGGACAAAATTCGTTTCAAGAGCCTCATGGACAAAATCAAGTTCGATGCTTAGCCAGAGCTTTTTATCAGGCTGGGGCCTGACAAGGTTAATAAGGGTCTTTCCAAGAAAATTCCGGGAAAATCTCGCCTGAATTTTCCAAGAAAATTCTAGCTTAACATCCAATACATTCAAAGATCTAGAGAGAGAGAAAAAACAAGAAGCAAGCAGTGAAGGCAATGAAGCTAAATTGGATGCACTGGTTTAATCATGAATCTGCCAGATGGGTTGAGATGGAAGATGGTCTTCTCATCAAGGTACTTCTCGGGGATCACAAGCTTGATCACGTGCTACTTGAGATTAGCGGCAATCTCATCGTTTGTCACGGTCTCATCGTGCTGGGTTGAAATCAGGATAGTGTAGACACGAATTGGGACAATGGCACCCTTGTCATTGACATACTCAATAGTAACTTGGGTCTTGCCATCAGGTCTCAACCAAGCACAAGTCTCGTTCTTGCGAACCTCAGTGAGCTTGGCACCGAGCTTGGTTGCAAGGATGTGCGTGAGTGGCATGAGCTCGGGGGTCTCACCCGTCGCAACAGAGGCAAGGACTTGAAGCTCACAACCCCAATTCTGGATGCCAACTCATCCTCGACCCACTGCTCGACTCAGCCCCCACTCGCTCCTCTCGACTCACCTACTACGATTCGTGGCTGCATTGATGGATGTTATTATTTGCTCTTTCCCTTTGATCTTTCGGCGTGTCTGCACATGCATGACAGCAAAATGGAGAAAAAATGATTACTTACAGTGATGATCTTACTTTAAGGATTTGGAGATTATAAAAAATTACGCCTAAAAGATTGCATCAGACAGAGATGGGGAACATAGGTGGGCAAAGAAATGGAGTGGGAGAAACAAAAGCAAAAGCAAAGCAGAAACGAAAGCAAAAGCAAAGCAGAAACAAAAGCAAAAGCAAAGCAGAAACGAAAGCAAAAGCAAAGCAAGAAACAAAAGCAAAAGCAAAAGCAAACGCACCAACGATCTGAAACTGTCGAAGCTTTTGTATCGAAACCTTTGTTTTGAATGATGTAATTTATTTTTCTTATCTTTCGCAGACATCTGTATAAACCTCATCAGAGGGTAATAATAATAAATAAAAAATTTAAAAAAAAACAGCAAGCCCAAAATAATGGGCTGGAATGTTATATGGAGGACCAAGGCCCATATGCCCAAAAGAGCCAGGCCCTATGGCCCCAAAATTATTCGGCAACCTGCTGCTATTACCACAAACCAGGTGATCAAAAGTACACCCAGTACTCCAAAATTATTCGGCAACCTGCCGCTATTATCACCAACTAGGTGATCAAAAATACGTCCAGTACTTCAAGATTATACATGAGCATTACTCATGTCAATCATACATAAACATTCATGAGCATCACTCATGTCAATCATACATAAACATTCATGACCATCATTCATGTCAACATTCATAAGCATCACTCATGTCAACATCCATGAGCATCACTCATGTTAGTCAACATAAACATTCATGAGCATCACTCATATCAATCAGCTTCAAAAGCTTCATTTACAAAGCTCTAGCTTCAAAAGCTTCATTTACAGAGCTTTAGCTTCAAAAGCTTCATTTACAAAAGCTCTAGCTTCAAAAGCTTCATTTACAGAGCTCTAGCTTCAAAAGCTTCATCTACAGAGCTCTAGCTTCAAAAGCTTCATTTACAAAGTTCTAGCTTCAAAGCTTCACTTGCAAAGCTTCACCTACAAAGCTTTAGTGCAGGGTATAGAAATACCGCATCTGAACAACCGTCACTTCGGCCCATACATGGATTCAATTTGAAGTCTCCAGCCAACAGACTCTATAAACCGAAGACTTGGGGGACTACATTATGTACCATATATTGGGCCTCAACTGGGCCTCATGAAAAATACTTGGGGGACTTAGCCCATTATTTATGTACTGAGGAGCGAGCCCTTATTCTATAAAAGGGACTCCTTCACTTTCATTAGAAAGCACCCATCGTTTATGTATTGAGGAGCGAGCCCTTATCCTATAAAAATGACTCCATCACCATCATTAGAAGGCATCAACTCTAGCCCATCGTTTATGTATTGAGGAGTGAGCCCTTATTTTATAAAAGGGATTCCCCCACCTTCATTAGAGAGCAACGCCGCCAGCTGAGCAAACCGCATCGCCGCGAGCATCACTCCTAACCCATCACCTATGTATTGAGGAGTAAGCCCTTATTCTATAAAAGGAACTCCTTCACCATCATTAGAGAGCATCGCCGTCTACTGAGCAACCGTGTCGCCGCGAGCATCAACTCTAGCCCATCACTTATGTATTAAGGAGCGAGCCCTTATTCTATATAAGGGACTCCCTCACCTTTGACGCCACAAGCTGAGCCAACCAAGGCAACATAAGCCACAAACCGAGCAGCCTCGCAACATGTGCTACTTCTAGTTGAGCATCATTTCAGATTGGGCACCGCCTCATATTGAGTATCAGTTCTAGACGACATCTAGTTACTTCGACCCACACATAGACTGAATTTCAAGTTTCTAGCCAAAAGACTCTCTTGACTGAAGACTTGGGGGACTACTGTTTATACCATACTTCGGGCCTCCATATTTAGACCTCGTATAAATACTTGGGGGACTTAAATGTAATTACGTAATAAAGGAAGAGGCAAATATGTAATAAGTAAGGAGCCCTTATTCTATAAAAAGACTCATCACCCTCACAATTAAAGGAGGTCATTTCTTAGGCTATGGGAAGAGTTCTCTCACCCTCAGAAGCTCTCTCCCTCACTCCCCTCATTTCTTAGAGAAATACAATAATCAATGTGGACGTAGCCCAAACCTTGGGGTGAACCACGATACATCTTGTGTTATTTACTTTCTTGCAGATTCACGGTCGGATTTACGTTGTTCCAAGACCCCTCCGGTTTTGTGCATCAACAATGTTGCATTGGGTGTGCGGCTAACTTCTCGATCTTGCGACTGCAGTCGAGGAAGGAACACGTCTCGGCCTTCAGGTTCTAGAGCTTGAAGACAAAGCTACTAGTTCTGCGAAGTTCACAAATCGTCGGCGCCGGATTCGGTCACGGTGATTATGTTAGTGAGAGTATAAGCACGCCGAATCGACACCAAAGTATAGGGACATAAATACTCAAAACAAATGTATGTCTTGATTATGAAAGTGGTTCGGCCATCAAAATGCTGAACTCTAAAACCTACTTGCGAATAACCAATCATAAACGACTAGGCGTTCAATGTGCCGAGTATAGTAACTTGTAACACCTCGCTTCACCGAGAAGGCTAACGAGATGACATTTGCTGATAAGGATTCAAAAATCTTTCTCGACCGAGACTTGAATAGATAACCAGTGGGCCCTGTCGAAGTGCTATTTATCCAAACTGAAGGTGCTCCACGGTCGGCTGATTCAACGGCAACAATGCTATTTATCCAAACTGAAGATGTTCGCCGGTTACCTTCACAGTGGTGTTTATCCAAATTGAAGATGTGTTGGCGAAAAAAGAAAACAAAAATCTCAAGGTTGTTGAGAGGTTTCGCGTAGAGCGAGGGTATACGCAGGGCAATTTATGTGTTGAATTGGAGAGGCTTGTTTTGATGTCTTCCCTCCCTATTTATAGTAGCCAACCTGTATTGAATCCTAATCACTCCCGGATTAAAACTCCTTTCCCTTATCCAACTTTATCTCAGCCAATCCTACTCCTACTAGGACTTTGAACATAACTTGTTATCAGGCAGTATTCAATTCCAGCATCATGATCCTGTCGAAACTTCTTCTCATAACAGGACTCATCCACATCCCCAATTCCCCAATGGGATATGGCCAACTTCGACCGCATGGTCCATGAGCTAGATAACCCCCAACGACACCTGTACACGGCCTCTAGGCCGAGAAGAATTCTAAACTCGGCCCAACCAACACTGGGCCGAGAACAATTCTAAAATCGGTCAAAAACAATATTTTTGGGCCCAAACAGGTTTGTTTGATCACAAAGGTTTCAATATGTTGCTTTTGTGTCACCAAATCTCTACCTTGTTGTGAAGATTTACTATGAAGACTTTCAACACCTACCTCCCTTATGAAGATTTACTATGAAGACTTCAACCTTCTCAGTGATGGCATCCCTACCAGCATTTCCCACTTTATCAAAATCACATTTGAAAAGATAGTAATAAACGACATCATTTGTTATACTTTATTTCAACCACCCAAAATTATCAAACCAGCGAGTGATAGATCATCAATTGCCCTTCCCTATAACTTTTCTTGGCATTTTTTATGGGTTTTAAGTTGACAATGATCCTTTTGTAGATAGTGTCTTTGATTTTTTTGCGATAATTAGGCTCATAATCGATCATTCAAGGTTTAAGTCTAGGTTTTGCATAAATATTAACCAATATTTCATCTAATTCAGTTACATCACTTTGTTGTTAAATACCCAGAATATTCGAAGGAGGACTACCAGGAACATTCTGAGAAGGAATACCTGAAATATTTGAAGGAGGATTTAAGCATGGTTTCTTAAAGTATCGTTCCATTATGTAACTGTATAATGAAAAAAGGTCTTAGACTTTTAATCCTAGAGACTACTGTGACTAATAACTAAGTAAAACAACAATTAAATTGATCAATAAAAAATAATCATATAAAAAATTAAGGAAAACTAATGAAAAGGGCTTGAAAACTTTGAGTTTTAACGACAATGACAAAATAAAGGGTAAAGTGAATAGTACCATGACTTTTTAGTGTAAAAATGTGGTTTTTCGTTAAAGTGAACATTACCAGAAGCTTTTCGTTAAAGTTTCCTATAAATTATTCAATAATCACCAATTCAATTAAATCAACAGTCAACAATCAACAATTCAATTCATCAATAATCAATAACCTTATTACACTGTAAGTCTATATAATTAAACAAAATTTCATATTGCATTATCATAGTGGTTTAATTTAAAAAAATTGGGATTTACCTCAAAATTGGTTGTGCCCGGTGGTGGGGATTGGCGGCTGACGGCGGCGTGGAGGACGATGGCTCGTGGAGGAGGGCGAAGGCTGCTGGCTGCTGCTTGGATGGAGCTTGGACCAATGGCAGAAGGTTCTGCCTGCCTTCTTTTTGTCTAGAGTCTGTCTCCAATTCGATCGTGGATTATAGGAAACGAGTGGTCCCACTTTCATTATGGGCACAACTATGCCGCTTGCTTATTCTTCTTTTTAGCCATCCTATCAACCCACTTGTTTTCTGCCTCTAATTTTTCCGTTACCACCTCGTTTATTATTCCCATA